ATGAACCTAGAATGTTGGCATTGCTTCCAGTATCAAGCAAAGCTAAAATGTTTTCATCACCAATGGATATTGAAAGATGTGGACGATTGTCATTTGGTTTTTGAATAAATGGTTCTGAATGATCATTTGATGGCATACCTGCAAGTTGTGAATGATTAATGTCAAAATCGGGATTAATTGCTGAAGGTTGTCTTAACTTGGCTATTTGTTGGACTTCAGAATGAGACCTGGAGTTGCTTTGCCCTTTACGTCTATGACTCCTCGAGTCTGGGCGAAAGAAGTTCCGGGAGTCGGATTGGAAACTTCTTGCCTCACGTTTTTTGAACAGGAAGGACAATTAGAGCGTGTGACATTTTTCATACCACAGGTATAGCAATAAACAGCCTTAGGAGCTCTACAATCTCGAACAGAATGTCCTAGTTTCTCGCAGTTCCAACATACAGGAGCTTTTCTGTGAGATGATGGAGTACTATCTGAAGTAACCAAGCTGGAAGTGGAAAGTCTATTGTGGGGTTGACAAGTCAAGAAGGAATCCTCTAACTTCCTACAAAGTGATGTTAGTTCAGGAAAAGTGGAAATTTCATGAAGAGCAAGTGACTTTATGAAGTCAGGCAAAAAATTTCCTCGGACAATATTGACCATGTCCTTTTCTGTAAATGTATTGTAGGTTAATCTATTGAATTGAGATTCCATGAACGAAATGAAGATCGTAACATGTTCATGCTGACCTTGTTTGCGTCTACGAATCTCATCAATTAGGTTCATATTGTCACGAAGAAAAGCATCCTTGAGTTGTTCAATCAAGTCCTGCCAATCATGAAAGCTATTTCTTAGATGGCCATTATGCCACCATGTCCAGGCTACATCTTCAAAGAGATCACCTGCAGATGCAAAGAGATCCATCTCATTGCAACCACGGGAAGACATTAGAGATTCGACAATTTCTAGAAATTCAATAACTGAGCTATTTCCAGAAAATTTTTTGATTCCCCATTTGAAAACTGGTACCTTTTTATGTGGAGCAAAATTTATAGGAGAGAGTGGCTGTGTATGTACTGGAGTAAATACTTGAGGATTAGCAACAGTCACAGGCGGATTTGATGCCAATGGAATAGGACGAGATGAAACTGATGGAGGAGATGATTGAGCAGATGGCATCTGAAGCTTCTCTAAAAGATCAGATTCACACACAACAAGTTGTGTCTTCAATCTAGATTTTGTACTTATCTCCTCATCACAAGTAGGAGACATTCGATCTATCCTACCAGATAGATGCAATAAGCGCACACAAATTCTGCGATGTTCAACAGAATCAAATGCACCAGTAAATCTAGAGATCATCTCTGTGAGTTTATTGAATGAGAGTCTTATCTCAGTCTCATCCTCATCAAAAGGAATAGTCGCAGAAGGTTCTGAGAGACTACGCCCTTGAAATTCTTGTGCTAATAAGCCACGTAAAACTTTACGTTTATTGACCACGGTATTAGGGACTTCCAAACCTCTGATATGAATCTCGTAGTGGAGTTCATGACTTAATAAGTCATTTGGGCTTAGTCTAGGCTGAACCATGATTGAGAAATAAAGCTCAAAGAAACACTTGAAAAAAAAAAGTTAAAAACCTGAATACGTCAATAAAGGACAAGGATCCAAAACACTATAAAAAACTAACAATACAAACAAAAAGTTTCAATACAAAAACAGGAGCAGCCGAATCTTAATAAAATTATTTTATATTTGACATACATTAAAAAGGTACAGAGACGTTCAAGTCCTGTTAATCCAATGGAAAATCAGACACTAATGTTCTAATTTGCCCCAAAGAATATGCCAGATAAAACTATAAAACATTAAAATTATGAAAACTTATGCCCAAACAAGAGACAAAATTACTACAATAGTTACTGGGGAACGTATACTATTTCAACAACAAGTTGAAATTTAATTATCATAAATGAGTATGCGTGTCTTTGTATAGGTAAAAATGATTTAGGAGTCACCCCCCCATTGAAAAGTAGCAAAAATATAGTCAAGAAAAACATCATTTGTTTCTTGAAAAAAAAAAAGAAAGGTAAGTATCAACGCACTATGTCCAAGTGTCAATACTTGAAAAAAAATTAAACCGCCAAAATATACGAAAAATAATGAATATCAATTTCATACAATTCAGACAAATGGATAAATTGCAAAATGATTTACTCCAGATAACTCTAGTCAGTAAATTATTGCCATCAGAATGAAAACAAATGATAAAAAGTTCAAGTACAGTCAAAAATTCAAAAAGTAAAAACATTTGGGGAAGGCAAAAATAATTTTGAAAGTAAATTTCCTACGTACCAAACATCATGAGAGCTATATCAGTATACCAGAGATCCAACAATTAGGCTATATATGCATACATGAAAAATCTCAAGAAATCAAAAAAACTGCACATGAAGAAATACTTTCAAAAACTAAGAGGTTAGTGATAAAAAATCAAAAGCATATAAGAATATATAAACTATCAACAACAATAGTCACAACCTCAATCAAAAGTTTGATGATATTCGACAAAATGCTGGGAAACCTAAAGTCCCCAGACTATCAATATTCAACACAAAAAATTATCAAAATATCATCGATCTCAAAACTGCAATGAGAAAAAAGTTATAACTGTCCCCAGCAGTAAATAAAAACTATAGCAGTATGTGAGAAAAAAAAATTCTGGCAATGATCTCGCTGACTACAAAACAAGGCAATTTAAAAGTTAATAGAGCATAGTACGCCTATGAAATAAACAGGTGGAAAAATTTTAATCTTTTGATAAAAATTTTAAACATTAGGCAAAAAGTAAGGTTGATTAAAGAATTAGAAATTTGAGTACCAAAAGCAATTAAAAATAGAAATGCTGCCAAAAATTGTAAAGAATTTTGAAAACTATGTTCTGTCTGCCAATCTTCCACTAGCAAACCACTTGTCGACAAAGCCAAACACCTATCGAAGCCTCACGTTGCGGGTGCCAATTTATGTAAACCTTCCTTTCCGCAAAAAGTCCAGAAAAGATGGAATGCAATGAAGATTCCAACTTTTCTGCACAATCACAGAAAGGGGGTTACCATTAGTTTCCGGTAGCTCAGTCGGTGGCATGAAGACATCTACAGGCGTGTAGCTGTGTGTCGACCATGGCATGGCTAGAGGATAGAAGAACAAACAGAACACAAAAATTTAACAGATTTTATTTAACTAGAAAAGCATTTTCATTACATTTGAGAATTAACATTGTTGAAATTTTAAATAACAAAATAAAAGATTTAAATCTTTGGCGCTGTTACAAAACTATCCACTTATCTTTCGCTAAGCTGGTCCATTTTGACTGGACTGAAGCGAGGATGGCCAAGGGCTTCAAGTGAAGGTCCCAGTTATGAGCGGTGACCTCATATTTAGTGGCTTCAAAACTAGATGTAGGCGAAGGATGCAGTGAAGTTGAACTTAAACGTGATCTTCATCAAGGATGAAGCTGTAAGTGATGGCGCAGCCAAGGCACATGCATGGCTGAAGGCACGGCAAAGTGATAGGCCAAGCAATAGGTAAGCCAAAGTCAAAGACAAAGGAAGGCAAAGTCAAAGACAAAGGCAAAGGCAAAGTCAAAGGCAAAGGGAAAGTCAAAGACAAAGGCAGAGGCAAAGACAAAGGGGGTGGCTCCAATCTGAAAAGAACCGTGTGCATTAGCAACGTGCCCCAATGGCCAAGGCATTTCCAATCTCAGTATGCCTCAAAAGAGAACCAACGATTTTCTAGGTTAGAATTACATTACATAGTTTGATAAAGTCAAACCGAAAATTGGAAGTGCCTTTCATAAAATAAAATCATGAAATAGCAAAAAAAGCGTAAAACAACATGGTGGTCATCAAAAATTTCTCCACATGCTTCTGATATAAAAACACAAATATCGAATATTCATTTCTACCTCGATTTGATTAAAGTTATGGCGAATGATCGAAGTAATCGAAAATAACGTTCGATGGATATTTTAAAGAAATTAACCAATTACATCTATAAACTACAGGCAGATCCAGCAATAAAACTGTATAGTATTATAAAACTCACCATTTTATCCTAGTTGGACACACATTTTACAAAATGCTAGCACATGGTGCTATATGACCTCATGCTACAGAGAACAAAATTCTCAGCTCTTGTTAAATCGGCGGCTCAAGTGAAAAGGAAGCGCGAGGAAGATCACAGATCAGGAACTCCGCATCAAGCGCGCTCCAAGCGGAAAGGTTTCCAAGTAAAAAAGCTAGAGATGGGATAAGCTAGAGATGGGATTTATGAGTTGCGATTCTGAAATGAAAATCGAGAAGTGATTTAATAAATACAATCGGACGGTGAAACCGTCACAATAGGTAAGTTGAGCCATCGCGCATCGGCAGCAGCAAAATCTAAAAATTTTAACAGTGGCGATTGGACCAGTTATCTGTACATGGGTCATTCTAAAATTCCTTGCAGAAAATGATGTCCCGAAACTAAAATACTTTCTCTTCGCTGAGATATTAGAAACATTTCATATCATTATGGGATCATTCGTTAAAGGACACATTATTTAATAACTTTTTAAATATCTAACGCCTTTAATATTGATTAGTCATCCATTTTGTCATGTAACAGAGTGGTCATTCATGGTAACAGTGTTGTTTTTCATACAAAAAAGATATGTCCCAGACCGCAGACCATTATACAGTAACCGTGATACCATTTTATCAAACCATATGGATCTTTTTGTTTAAATGCTATAGTAATTAAGCAATTTTAACATTCTCAACAACATGTTTCATACATAGTAAATATAATTTATTGATCTACTTACGATTACTTAAAATGTTGTCCCACTTTATTTCAAATAGTAAGCTTACACTCTGTTACCACATATATTTGATAGCTGCCAATAGATGACGCCACATTTTTAATGGGAACAGTTGTGTTTTTATATCTACTGCTCTATCGACACTGTTCGTTGCAAGTCAGGCGGGGGTATACAAACAGGGTTTTCCGTTGGCTATGATGTGAGGCGCGTAGTTTTATGCTATGTGTACTCTGTTACCGGCGTTTTCAAGTAAGTATTCTTATATTTCTATACAAATTTACAATTTTAAAGTAGATATAGTGCATCCATTTTAACATAATACAGTCTTGTTTAAATAATAAAAGGTACGAAGTGTTAAATTTACTACTCTGTTACTGCACAACTACTACTATATAGTAACAGAGTTGTAGACTGGTAACAGAGTTGTTATCATACTTATTATTTTACTGTTTGTAGCTTTGGTCGTGGTTAGTCGGTCTGTATCTTGTATAATAGATAAAATAATTTGTTCTAGATAATTATGCGATATCATTATGGCTCTCACCGCTGCTGAAATATGTTTTCAGATGGACCCGCGACTCAGACCTTCTCAAAGTTACTTGGAATTATTTTGAGGCGGAACATGGAAAGGGGGCGGCAGGCGGTATCGGTGGCTTTATTAAGCAAACTACTGACCGATTTGTTACCATTGGGAAAGATATTTCTGATGCTTCTTCCTCTGAGCAGCTTCTGAAAGACAGTAGCAAGGTGAAGGTGTACCTTATACTTGATGAAGACTTTGAAAACATGGCGAGAGAAATTCCAACAGAAATAGTTCCTTTATATGGCACAATGAAACTACATCAAGCTTTTACAGAGGAAATCGGATCGCTGGAGTATCGAGAGTTGAGCTGTTTTTGCCAGCATGGTTTCTGTTCTTGCATGTGTCCAGAAATTCATTATCTGCCTAAAGAAACGATTGAACAATCAAATCCTGCTACGTTATAAGATATTACTAATTTAATTGTTCAAAACAGGAAATCAATTTACAATGTTGTATACGGTTCGGACTCGGAATTTAGTGATAATCAACCTGGATTGTCAAAAGAAAAAGATGATGATAACAAGTTAATTGAGAAGGAAAATATTCATTCCAGTAAAATCAAAGGAGTCGACGTTCTAGTAAAAATTTCCTCCTCTAAAAACGAATACCTTGGAAAAGCTTTAAATGGAGTAGTCGACGATGAAGAAGTAAAAATAGTATTCTTGAAGTCTGTTGACCATACCGTAAAAACATTTAAATTGGTCGAAAATGATATATCATACGAACAATATGAAAGTTTGATAAGAATTGTTTCTGAACTTAAAAAGATAATTAAGGCAAGACAAAAGGCTCTATTACCATTTCCCCACTCCTTTAGAAATATCTGAAAAAAAAGGTATCAGTTAACTAATTTTAATTTAATCTCAGCTAGAGCGTACTTGTTTCTTTAAGTTTTAACGTCTAATAATTACGAAAAGAAAGTTTTGTGATTATATTCATAAATTAGTCATAAAAGTACAACTATGTTACGATTCCTACAACTCTGTTACCTTTATGTCCCTATTTTTAAAAGAGTGAGGTTAGATTTTTTATAAAAAGTTGGTACTTTGTTGTATATTTTATATGTCTACTTCTATTTACGAAGAATAACTTAGTTAAATTCTTGTATTTCATTCAATTTAAGCAATTTGAGAAAAAAATTTGTTTCATATACAACATACAGGGTAACAACATTTTTAAGTATTATTCATAAGTAAGAAACAATACTGCAATTTTCCATGTCAAACATGAGAGTTAATTCATGTTCATTACAAAGAAGAATATAAAAAGATATTTTTGTTGTTTAACTAATCAATAAATAAATGATAGTAACACAGTTGTTATTTTTTTCGATCCTGACTAAGTAAATCTTCTAAAAATCAAAACATAGAAACGAATGATCGCGCCTAGCTTTGAAATTGAATTTTATAAAGTTATGTGCATAACATGGATATCTTACACCTAAATTAAACAAGATTTTTTTTTAGAAATTAGATCTATTGCCACGTTTTTCTGCAACCGATTTTATAATGACTCACATAACGATTCATTTCGTTATTTATTCAATTGCAAGGTCCATGAAAATTATCGGAAAAATATTCCATCCATGACTCGGCACGCAGACTGCAGATTATTTACCTGTTTACAAGGTTCACAGCATTCCATTTTTACTTCCAATTTGCGTAGACACGCGTTGACACTATTTATTTCCTTTCTAACGTAGTAACGATCCTTTCATCTCCCACGAATGCAAGGAGTATCGGAGCGCCGTTAATATCGACAAAATATTCCATGCAAGCCTCAGGATGCAAATTACGTGAACACGAAATACTTTGTACAAATCTCTTACCGCTTCCTGCATAAATATTGCAATATATTTTCTAGAAATAAGTAAATTGAATCGTTCGTATACCAATCTGTAACCAGAAGCACATTGTTTTACGAGGGAAAATCAATAAGCCCGGTCAGTCGCGGATTTGTGAATATCTAATGGAGAATCTCGCAGTGGTGATTGTAGGATTCATATTAAGGAAAATAGAAGTGGACTGCGTGGTTAACAATATCTGTTAGGTCGCAAAGAGACTTATAATCCCATAGATGACAGCTCAATTGCTAGCAGTATATTATGGTTTTAACCTTAACAATAATGTGGATGATTCCTACTGATGTCGATGAGTCGTATCCTAACGCAAGATGTATGCTGGCTTACATGAGTCGATAGAGACAGTACTTTCTCTACTTCGTAGATTTAAGACAAGTTGCTTGTCTGTCCTAAAGATACTGGATGAGGCCCATTGTAAGGTTTCTGCTGGCTGCCTCGAGGACTGTCACACAAACAGATATGATGTTGTGACACGGCCTGATCTTCTGGGTTTATAGATGTGAAAGGGGTGAAAAATTAATCATGGAGCTTGACCATATCTACCTTAAAAGTGGTACGAAATTCCCTTATAATGGTTGAAAGTACCCCTATGGCACATTTGTTTCGAGGAACGTCCGTTTCAGGAAATAAATAGAATATTTATGTCTGAGGTTCTTAGCCTGGTGTTCAATGTGGTAATGCGGCTTGGCGAGTGGTAAAATTTCATTGTAGTGACTATGGAAGAAATATATGTTCTGCGGGAATCTCTTTGTACAGCAATACAGGTTTCCTTCCACTTGCTTTGACGATATCAATAAAAAAAATATCTTAAAGTTTTCTATAGCTTGCTCCATATTCTATCGAAGTTAAAAGATTATGTACAATTTAGGTTGACAAATATTGTCTCTAAATTGGATGTCCTTGGAACATCCCATTCATTCCTGGAACGTTCGAATTATCTTCTTTGTCCGCTTATTGAGCTTAGTAGAGAATACTTATTTCCACAGTTGTCTTTCATGCCCACGTTTACTCGACTAGGTCTGTCCTTATTACAGAATAGCAACAGTAATACCGCGTTGGGCGTTCGTAACCTACTGGTCATATTTGACAGACCATTTCGTGACCAACCGGACCAGATGAAAATTATATTTTGGTTGGAACTACAAACCCATGAAAAGTCAAAGCTGTCAATCAGTTATGAATAGGTAAATACCTATTCGTTTAATAGGGCATTATTGAGCCACTTCATAAGGCCAGCGACTAATAAGGCAAGGCGTATTTTGACGACCTTACCTGCCACCAATGTGACGTGAAGAGATTATCGATTTCATCGTTACACACAGCCTCAAGCGTCGTATGTTGCTCAGTGACAGCTGTCAGCTCGTCAATTTTAACAATCTATTTAGACTAACTAGACTAACCCTGTACCCAACTAACGCAGATAGCACACAAACTGCTGCCAGAGTTTGAAAATGAAAATCACGGGGGAAGATGAGAATCAAAATCCAAACTATCCAAAATACAACCATCAACTAAAGAAACTGAGGATGAAAGTGTTGACACCTCTGAGGAATTTCAAAGCTGTCAAGAACATCTAATCAGGTCTTGGTTGTGCCAGCTTTATTCCTCACTAAGTAGAGGCTTCCGCTATTCTTACTGCTTGCGGTCCTAACAGTGACACAAACTGTGCATGCGTATATGCAACAGTGTCCACTACTACCACTAATAGTGCCTGGCCGGATAAGTTCTCTAATAATTTCCTATCAGCCTGCCTTTTCCATTTATTTTGTAATTTAGATAATACTGATACTGATAGATATAAAAACACTTTTGCCTATAAAATCTAATTAATAGAAAATTAAATTTTATTAAGATCGAATCAAACCAATATTGAAACCTCGAAACAAAAAATACGAATATAATAATATAATAATATAGAATGTTACCAGCTGACAAGACAATTTTCCTTTTTCTTCGGACGTGTTTTTCCTATCTGATTATTTTGAAATGCCTTGTGGGAGAATTACACGATTTAGGGACGATTTCCTGATTTAATAAACCATTATTCTGCACCAATAGGAGTACGAAGCAGTCCGTCAAATATACCCAATCAGCCTCATGATCTCTCCGTCAAATTTTTGGCAGCAGACAGCATCAAAATATTCAAAACAAAACACTGTAAAATATGAAGTGACAGCTTGCCATTGAAATGTTTTACCGTTTATTAAATATTATGAAATTATATAAAACTGAGCCAAAATTTAAAAAAAATGCTTCATGGCTGAGTAAAATCCATTTTTTTTTCAGTTTAGTTGAAGGTTTCTCCATGTTTATTGCAACTTTTGTAATCCATATACGATTATATTAACTAAACATCACCTACTGGGTGTCAATAGTTTATCCTACATTTGCAAACTTGCAGTTCCAAATTCTTACACTCAAATTTTTGTTAGGTGTTGCATTTCAACACATTCATACACTTCGTTCCAATTCCTCAATGATATTTTGATACCACTGGTCCGAAACTGTTCAAGATTTCATTCATACTTTTAACTACAGTTGCAGATTTTGTTTTGATTCCAGTGTCTAATCAGTCGCTCCATCAGTGATGGTACATAGTACACTCAACGTAACTACGTATTTGGGGGTTAGTGCAGATTTAACGTGTACATGACAGGGTAATATGTAATTCTGCGCAAGAAAGATCTTAGAAGGAGCACTTTTTATACGGAAAATTCATTCTTCGGAAACAAAACAACAAGCTCAAAACAACAAGGGACAAGTGATCACAAAATACTCGAGGCTAGGCCTTTTCTGGGCCTTGTATAGAGTGAGAAGGTCATGCAGAAGTACTTCTTAGCCCGACACAAATAGTATAGCTTTTTCCCAGCAGCTGCCACTACTGACAAGATGTGTTCGAGCCAGATCAAGTCTTCGGTGATCTGGACTACGACCAGCCTAAGTGACCCGCTCTTTGGCAGAACCTGGCCATCCATCGGAACCGTATGAGCTCCAGGTCCGTCGTCAGAGAGGAAGTCGCCGCTAATCTTCTTTTTTCCCGCGCAGCTTCAGAGATCGGCTTGTCACTCTGAATTCCTGCATGTAGGGTGCTGTCATCAGCGAAGCTGTGGATTGGGTTGATCGTACAGGAAAGGACGTCGTTGACCTTGCGGGATGAAGAGGAGATCCCGTCAATCACGACGGATACCTTGCGACCAGAGACAAAGTCAGCCACCCATCTGCAAAGCCTTTCTGAGAGGTCATGGGATGGAAGTTTGCATAAGACGGCAGCGAGGCACGGCTGATTTTACGCTTTCGTGATATCAGGGCCTACGACGTATAATACTGGATTAGGTTACTCCACAATGCGTGACGTAAGCTAGGAGGTCCCCTGTGGATCGCTGGTGTCAGAAACCTGTCGCTAATCAAGCCGAGAGGTTCGAGGTAGTCCAGAAGCTCACGATTTATGCACCTCTCATCACCTTACTTATAACAGAAAGCAGAGCTTAGATCCTTTTTTGGGATGGGTTGGACATTAGCAAATTTACAGTTTTCTGGATTCATAAGATATCTGGGAGAGACGCAAAAGAACTGGAGCAAGCTCCGCTGCACACCTCTTCAGTACAATCAGGTCCGGATCAGAAGCTTTGTTGGGGGGCATCCATGGTGGAGTTGGCAGCAAAGATCTTGGCAAGCACTTCAGCCTTGGCCTTCGAGACAGTTACAATCGCTCCATCCTGACACGTAAATGTGAAAGGCTACTGCGTGACAAGTTCTTTTTAATCTGCTTGGCCAGCGTCCAGAAAAACCGACTGCCAATTGTCTGCGACATTACCTTGCCAAATCAGACATATCTTTCATCATTTTCAAAGAAATTGTACAAAACCTTCAAATTTGTGAAGTTAGTGAGTTTCACTTCATACGTTATTACCAGACATGCCCAAATCATCAGTTGCTGCTGTGATATTCATCTCAACCACTGCATCCCCACGGCTTGGCGACCTGTATGATAAACTTGTGTTAATAGGGCAGCGGGTTATGCTATAAATCATATATAAATATTTTCATAAATAAGAGATCTTTCCCATTCCGGATCGAACAATCTACCAAAGATGCTTATAATCATGATACCTAGTAAACTTTCATGAAAAATCCGCTGTATGTATATACGAGCTTTCTTATTTTGGCTCATCAATTTGACGATACAGCACATCTGCCAAAGATGATCATAATCAGGATAGTAAACTAAGACGAAGGTCCACTGTATATAAGTATTTTCAGATACGTCATTTGCAATTTGACAACAGACCATGATGGTGTTCACACTTTTCAAATATTCTTCAAGAAGTGTTATCAGCCTGGCTCCAACTATCATAAGTACTTTGTTTGTGTTCCTACTTTAAATTCAAAACCAGCAAATGTAAAAGATTCATGTCGCGCCCTCCACCACGGGACGTGATCGTCGTTAGACTTGGAAACCCTGCGAGAGACAGATATATATCCCCGCCAGTCAAAAAGGTAATCACATAATAAACACTATTAGTTTTTATGATTTTTGGACTTAAAAGACATTATTTGTGAGACATTCTTCACATTTTTTTGTCCATGTCCATAGTAATTGCATTGTGCATCAGGGAGATGTATTGATTGACACATCTGACACATATTATCTGTGTTTTAGGATGGAGAGGACAAAGTTTTTATTGCTTTGAGGAAATTCATTAACCCGTAAATGAATAAATGATTACTATTATGATGTAAAGGAAGATGAAGAATTGGATGGAATGTATTTTATATTCTATATTCTTGCAAAATACAGACAAATCCACACTATTCAACGGGTTTGTAGCTATAATGATAATGTATAAGCACTCAGATATTGAATTTAACAAATTCGAGATTGCCATGCATTAACAAACGACCAAACCTGCTGCCAAATTTAACAGCTAGAAAATCGACCTATTATTTCTCCCATTCCTATTCGCTGAGGGGAT